ACTGTTGCACTAAGTGTTAAAATGTTTTTATTCATAGTTACTGATGGTCTTTGTACCTTAGTAAAAGCCTCATGCTGTCAACTTTTTTTTTTTTCCAGATCCTTCACAGAGTGAGGTTATGGGAGAACCACACATGATGATGGAGTACAAGCTTGGTTTATTGTAACAAAATATACTCCACAAAAATGTTTTGTGTGTGTCTTTCTACTGCAGATCTAAATACATGATACTAAATTGACACTAACAGTGTTAAACAGTCCTACAGTTGTCATTTGCCTTCCTTGGTGAAAAGGCACATTAAATGTTTAAAATCTGTAAACTGTTCCGTGCTTATCAATCAAGTAAATGTCCTGTAACTAGGTAGTTTAAATGTCTTTTCATACACTGCTCAGGACAATAGCTTCTTAAATATGGAAATGCTATATATGTACACAAGAAATCCAAAAATACCCATGCATTTGAAAACTGACTGCTGTAGGTTAATGCATTTAATGGCAGTTCTCGTGAAAGAAATTAGGAGGGAAAGAAAGGTATTTTCCATTGAGTAACTCTTTGTTCATGCAAATTTCCATACACTTTTTAAACTATTGAATAAAAGTTTGCTATAAATGCTCTTGTGTTCCAAAATATATTTAATCATAAATCAAGCATCTCTTACCCATAACACAGTGTTGTTACTGCAATATTTTTAAAGATCTTTAACATCTGCACTGCCAATGTAATCCTGCTACATACATTTTTTTCCCCTCTTGACAGTTGTTTATGAGGGAGTTATTAAGCCTTTGTGTAGAATTGGAAGTATTGCTGTAAGAATAGAGTAAAGATACAGATTTTTTTCATTTGTGTCCCTGAAAGGATATTCTGGTTTCTGAAAGTAGAAGCAAATTCCACTTAGAGTTTAAAGAGATGTTTTAAAATCTTATTTGTGAACATAGTCCAAAAGAGCACTCCTAGGTCTAGGTATTTTAGTAATAAAAAAGAGTGCAGTACCTAATAAAGCTGCTGTAGTCAGAACATAAAGATACGGTGGTACAAATAAATAATTATTTGTATGTTTACAAAAATCAGATCTTAATTAAGGGAGCATGAGAGATCTGCACTTAAATACGCCTTTTAAAGGATCAGACAACTGAAAGGGGTTTTGTGTGCCCAAGTTCTCTTTTTTTATTAAATTCAGGTTGTAACAGTTATTTCTAATGTCATACAGGTGTATATGTCACATATAAATCCTGCAAGGCAACTAGTATGTGGCATATTAGAAAAAAAGTCTGCAGTTTGAAAAATGTTATCTTTTGGCATATGTGGGGAGCTTGAAACAATATTTCTAAGACAGGAACTCTTTATTCAGAAGGTTTCAATGACTTGGTTAAATTTCAAAGTGCACTTAGTGTTCTGTGTAGATAATTTTAGCAGAAATATTGCTATAAACCTTTTCACAATTGCAAATATCTCTTTTGCTTTTCAGTGGGCTTATAGCTGCTACAAATTCCCTATCCATGTAGGCCAAAGCTTTTAGCTTTTGTCCTGAAAAGTTTATAGTGCTTTTATATTTAAAACATTGCAGCAAATTAGAAACATTAGGATGACAGGAGGAGACACTTCACTGGTAGTTTTATATTTAAACTTGTTTCATTCAAGAAGTGAAGCTTCTAAAATTGTCTTTCACTTGAGATTTGCAGAGATTAGAGGCTTGTGCTATGCAGAACAAGCAATTTTATTTGGGGTTTATTTTGCCTTAGGGAGGTTAAATGTAGGGCCAATGAATCGAACATGCAAGCGTAGATCTACTCTCATTTTTGTTGTCCATAGCTGTCGTGGTCCCTCTGTGGGCTGATAAGAAAGTCTGAGGGATTACCTTGCCAGATCTGGGACAATTTAAGGTGTGGGCATGGATTTTCAGGAGGATTTTAAGGTCTGCCTTCATACCAGCACTGTTCCAGAAAACAGGGTGCCTGCCATCCAATAGTTGTAGTTACTGGTACCTTAAAGCTCCCCACTTCAGTGTGTTGAGCTGGTTGGCCTTTCCCAGATGGCTGTCGCATCTGAGCAAAACTGCATTAAGATGAGTAATTTAGTAGAGTTTCTCATTAGTGCAGTGAAGAACCAGATGCAGATTAAGAGGCTGCATGCAATTTCTAGGTGGTTTAGTTCAACAATGAGTATACTTTATAATAATCCTGGGTGAGATCAAGCCATGTTCAGAGGCAGGAAGGTGCCTTGTTCATTATGTCTGTAAGGCAGCTAATCTTAGGGGTTTAGCCAGGCTGGAAAGCAAATAGTATGTGTAAGAGGCCTGTGCAAGAATTTATGCTGTTAATAAAAGTACTTGGAGTCAAACAGGACTGAGACAAAAGCTTTTGAGATAAATAGGAAGGGTTATGCTCAGACAGTGCTGCAGGGGGTTGGGCTGAGGACTGGGCTTTCTGGCCCAGCCCTTTCTCCCCATTTTGGATAAGCCTCATTCTGTAAAGCATATGCTGCACAGAGCAACTCACAAAGGCATGCCACACCTGGGCAGCGGACCTGGGACAGACCCTGACAGAGCACAGGGAGGAAAACACTTCCAGATACACTGCTCTGGCAGGTTCAACAGAAGCCCCCACCCTGACTTCTTCTACATGGCATGCTGTCCCTGCTCTGCAATTCCGTACCTTCTCTTGGTACTGATATTCTGGGCAGCATCCTTTCCTCTCCCCAGGCACAAGAGGGAGGCAAAAGCACATCCTCCTCCTCTGCTGTTTGTTATGACCACAAAAAATAGATGATACCATAGTGCTGCTCCCGTTTACACAAACATTCTTCTACCAGTCATGCCATTGGCCATTTGTCAAAATTTTAAAAAGTGCAAGAACTACAAATACAACAGAGTTTAAAAAACCAAACTTCATTATGAATTTATATCAAAGTCATTTGCATTATACACAAGTAAAACAGTTATTATGATCTGAGATTTTGATTTATTACTCTGAAGCATATTAGTACTTGGGTTCCTCAGCTTGCACCATACCAGGCATTTTACCACAGTTCATATCCTTAGACCTAAATTTACAGCCAGTTCTAAATGCTGCATCTACGAGAAATACTCTGCAAACAGCACATACTTTGTACAGTAAAATCAAACCATAACAAAGCCGTTCCTGAAGCATATGTGCTTGTTCTCAGTTGGACTGACACACCACCACTATGGAACTGGCTTGCTTTGTTGCTACCTTCTGAGTGCTAGCAGAAGTGTGCACTGAAGAAGAGGAAAATGTCTTCATTTGCTTTTTTTTCCCCTGGCAGTTTTCTGTGAAATAGTTAATTTCATACAGCCTTACATAACTGCATAATGAAGAGGCAAGGCAGACAATGTAATCTTTGTGCTGAAATCCTTTACATCAGTGTTTTCTTAATCTTTCCACAAGTACTCATTATATTTTGGACCCACTGATTATTGTAGAACTCAGCCTACAAGTTGGAAGTAACTTGGGCACCTCAAAGGAGGAGAGTTAAGCAGTTTTATTTGCTGGCTGGTGTCTAAACTACTGAGACCTAATGATGTTTAATTGCTAATATCAGCCTCGGTAGTTCAGGACAGAAGTGTAAGAGCTGGCTATGGCTGTTAGCTGCGTAAATACTTGTTCCCCCTGCCCTGGATAAACAGTACTGTTTGCACCTGTGACGTCCTTTACCTGATTTGAACCCTCTTTCAAACCTTCTCAGCACAATACATAACTTGTAAACAATGCAATTGTTCAATTGTAAAGGATCTACAATAGTATCATGATGCGGTACTACTATTTTTCAGTGGAGTACCATTGAAAAGTTCTGCACGAGTACTCTGTTCGTGTGATGGGTATCAATGGCTGTAAGCAGGTCATCATTATACGGCACATGCTCTGTGAGCATTTTTATCCTATGCTGTGTGCAAGTCAGTTCCCACATCATAGTTGCTTTCCTAGAGGTTTCCTTCTCTAAATGTCAACTGCTTTCCATTATATTGACTTCTGGGAGTGGTCTGTAACGTGATGTTATATTTTCACTTCCACTGTGCACTCCAGAAGCTAATACTCAGGATAATTTCTACTTAAAGATCTCAAGGGAAAAGGTGAGGAGTCAATGCTGAAACTGATTCCTAGGTTTGGCAGTCTCACCAGTTTGCACTGTGGCCCTGGGCATGTCACTTGTCCTCTCTGTTAATTTCTCTCTCTGTGCAAGGGGGAAGAGAGTATCTGTTATGGAAGGACATTCTTAATAGCATTTGTAAGGTCCTTTGAAGATGAGAAATGCCATTCAAGTGCTCATATAATTATGCTGCATTTGTTGCAAGATAATTAGATTCATAATTCAGATTTGGTCACCTCATTTCAGGGTTGTTAAAAAAATAAAGATCCACTGATAAGAAATGCTATTACAGCCTTTCACTAAAAGAAACATATAAACCAAGTACCAACTTAACTAAAAAATAAGAAATATCTCTGGGACAAAAACCAGAGATGCCTATATGCAGTCCCTAATATATGGAAAATTATAAATGTGCAATATGGCCTCTGCAAAATGTAGGCACAGGCTGAACTTCACACTCTGCAAGCTGGAAATTTCCTGAAAGTTCTGTGTGAAAATCCATTTTAAGAACTAAGTCACAGGCAAGGTCCACACATCATACATTATACTTACACAAACACTCTCTGCTAACTGCAGAGCAGTAAGTCTGCTTGCAGCAGATGTTAAGTACTGCCTCCAGTTTGGTTGCTTTCTGAAAAAACTCCTTTTTTAGTAATTTTAGAGAGGTTTGGGGGCTTCATCATTAAGACAGAACTTTAAAGATGTACGCAGTGGACCACATCCTCAGCTGGCAGAAGCTCCAATGGCTTCAGCAAAATTGCCAGCACCCTCTGAGTTGATAATTTATCTCACCCTATTTAGAATGATACAAGATGTATCACAATCCACACCTGACATTCTCAAATTCGAGAAAAGGTGAGTGGAAAGAGTATCTCCCTACCTAATTTTTTTTTAACTCATGCTGAAAGCAGCATTATAATATCAATTGCCTATTTGCATAGTTAGGAGCTAGCTTTAGTCAAGTGTTGAAAGACTGGGTATAGAGTGCTACCAATTTACTGCTTATTGCTGCAGGGCCACTTGGAGATTGTGTTGTGTTATGTCTGTGGTGTCTGTATGACATAATGGTCTCTGCCACTGCATGTCAGATTAGAAATCCCGGGTATGTGGATCCTTTGTTCAACTATCAGCACTCTCTATGCTGGATACTTCTTCAGGTACCAGCAAAGCCAAGTCCTCCCCATTCCAGCTTGTGCACAGAAGCCAGCTGTAAGACAAAGATAAGACAGGTATCTTTAGTTGAGATGTTACTTATAGCATTCTGATTCAGCACCAACAAACACACTGGATAGTTCTGTACAGCCATCTTCTGTGGCACAGAGCTGTTGATGTATCTTAGTAAACAAAAGCAATGACACTACTTGTCCTCAGAGAAGTCAGACAATATCATTACTGCTCTTTTTGATCAAAGTATTCAACTACCATGTCCATTACAGACTGGAACAACTACCCTTTCTGCTCTCAGACAGCAAGATTTCATGATACTCTCAAAAAGAAAGGTTCAGAGAAAGGTTATTCCAAGGGTCTGATACCTGAAACACTAATGATAGAAGGTAAAGAAAAGTAACTTCCAAAAATCTATGATGATGATGGACTACACTCTTGATGGTAGCAGGGACTGATTGATGGTAAATATCTGTAGTGAAGCACATACAGACTTGAAATTATGTGAAATGTTCTAAATCTACAGCATTATCACTGCCTATTTAAATCTTTAAGTGCAGCTGATGTAGAGATAAAAGGTGACTGAGGTGAAGTCTAAGTATTAGGAAAAAATACATAAGTCTCTAGCAGGAGTACCACCCTCTTAAGGAATACATCTTTCTCCCCCTCCCATTGAACATAAATCTATCTAATGAAAAGTGATCCTTCTGTCACTTAGATTTTTGTTTCAGCATCCTAAAAAGAAGTAATTTATATTGGAAATAACATAAAGTGACCTTTGCTTTTATGAGTACTCATGAATAATGATATTTCACTGTCAGTATTACTAGGTGGTCAGATACGATTAGACACAACTGCTATAGAGGTCTATTTTTTAAACACATCTAGAGGTTTATTCTTTTGGACCTTAAAATCTTTTGCAGAGTTTAATGGCACTGGATCACAAGGTACTCATGACCAAAGATCAGGACTGAGAGCTTTCCATTAAATTCACAGCGTGATTGGTCATGTTTTTAACCCTAATTAGCATCTAGAAGAGCTCAGATTGCAAAATTAAGCTCATGCATTTCAAGCAATCTGTTGCTTTTGTTCTTTGTGAAAGGCTTTCCTGTAAAAAAGACCATGTAAAGGTCTCAAACCAAGGGAAGGCACACACATGTGGTCAAGGCTGAGGTGTGTCCCCCAAGCAGTACATTCAGGGTAGACTTCACTTTGGGGGAAGTTCACAGCATAAGGCCGAGGGAAGGCAGCTGGATCAGAGAAAAAGTGTGAAACTGGAGCTTCTACACTGCACTGGAAAATAGTAAAGTCTGAGAACTACCACACTAAACCATTCAGCTTCAACCCATGTCAGAACAGAAACTACTGGCAAAAGCAGTCAGAAGCACTCTCCTGATCTGTACTTACCACAGGACAGTCAGTGGAATTAGACAAAGGCCTGCCGATAGGAGGAAGCTAAAGCCTGAAAACCATGCAACAGTAGTTGCATAGATAATATTAAAAACTGAAACTGAAATACTGCCGGTCACAACTTCTAAACAGGCAATACAAGCAAACACAGCACCTGCCAAAAATAAATGGTGAATTACAAACAAAACAAAATAAAACAAAACCTCTTCAAAATACTGACATTTTAAAACATGTTTTGAAAGACCTATCGATAGTATTTTTGCAAGTACAGAAGTAAAAAGCATCAGAGTATCATACTTTGCCATGGCAATGTCGTCTGTGGAAACTCCTACAAAATGCTTGTTCTTCTTAATGAATAAAAACCAAAATAAAACATTTTACTGATGGGAACTACTTTTCTTTGCTACTATTCTATCACCATTCCTACTTTCTTGAATCTGCTTATCACATGAAATTCAACCTGTTCATCCTCATCAACTATGTTCTACACATTTCCATCCTTTATCCCTTCCAATTTTCTTTTTTATTCTCACTCTTCTCTTTATTGTTTCTTCCTGCTCTAATCTTTACTCCCATATGCTGAAAAGACTGATCCAATGAAGAGTGATGGTTCAGCATCTAACCATGTTTCTCTTATTTTTGAAAGGAAAGAAATAACATATTTTTTGGACTGAACTACCCTTTGGGGTGGCAGTCTATCCCATCAGTGTCTTGTTGAACACATTTTCCCAAGCTATATTCATAATCGCAGGACCACAAAGAAGATCACTATACGTAAGCAGAAAAGGATGACGAGGCAACCTGATTCCTGCATCAACCTACTCAAGTACCCAAAGCCCTGAAGAATGCCAAGAAACTGCAAAACCAGAGGTCTATGTTAGCACAGCTAGTACAAGGAGATCTTTGTTTTAGTATACAAAGATTAGTCTTCTAAAAAATAAAACCAAATAACTCAGGAGAATGTTTCTAGAAAATCTAGAAAATATATGCTCCCCAGAAGCAAAATATGGGATACTAGAGCCACATTTTGAGGCCTGACATGTTGTTTTTTCCTGTGTTCCATAAGGAAAGGACTTTGAGAAGTAATGTGTTACATTTTTGTGACATGATTAAGAAGCCACAGGCACCCATGAAGATGGGTTCCTCTATAGCTGAAGATCCACGTCTAATTGTTTTCAAGTGCTTTGAAGGTTGACCGCCTACTGCTTACCTTTCTAAATTAGTAGGTATGACATTGACTAAATAACAAAATATATCTTTCTCTGCATGTCAAAATCTTGTGAATGTAGAAGCCCTTCTGAAATCACATTTGTATAAATCTTGAGCATTCTTCTGCTTCAAGTTCCCCATGGTCTTAATTTTTTTTAAGAACAGTATCTCCTTTGAAGGTTGAAACTTGCAGTGGTTTTTAACCCAATGTTGATAATATTAAATTCAGAATCAAAAGCCATTAATATCAAGACACAGGGCCATATTATATGGAACATGAAAGAAAAGCAGACTTAAAATACCAACACAGATCTGTTTGTTTAAAGGTAATCTTGGTGCATCTCTGTTCTGAAACACTGTATTATTTTACTGTTTAAAACCAATTGCTACTCACCCTGTTCACCAGCGAGAACCACTTTTGACAGCATGGATCGGAGAACAGGAATAGGCATAAAGCAGAACAAAGATGGCACTCTCACTGTAAAGCAGTCATGAGATATTGAAGTAATTAAACTCCAGGATTTTACAAATACATTGCAAATGAATTAGTCATACACTTTTCAATGCTTAGTTCCTCACATAAGACAAAGCACCAGAAAAGAACTAGAAGTGCATTGAGACACAATTATCCAAGCACAGAGAAATTAATAAATCAAATATATTTGTACAGCACCGAAACCAAATCATGAGCCATTCATTCCGTTCTCTCCACACACTTCATCTTTAAATCAAATCAGTCGGATCAGCCTGATCAACCATGTATATTTTACCTCTCTATGACCCCTTCAAGATAGTACATCCAATATCCAACAACTGCATTCATTACAGATAACATAGCAGTATTTTCATACATATTGTTGATTATGGAAAAACTGATTCTGAACTTACCTAAAAACATGAGCAGGGTAGTTTTGGCAAAGGCAGCCATGATCATTCCTCCAATGTAAGAAAATATCCCAATAAAGACAATATAGATGTCTTTGAGACATTTAGAAAATAAGTAAACTCCTAAAAAACTGGTCAGAGAGACAGATGTGAATGCAGCTGCTCCATATCCAATGTATACTTCATTCCAGCAGAGCGGCTCATCCAGTTCATACAATGTAAAAAGGGAACTCCCACCAATCATAGTAAACATATAAGTCATAAATGCAAAAAGTAACACAATTATTAAAATTCTCTTTTTATAAGGGGCAGTTTTAAAAAGCATGTACACTCCAGAAAATGTCTCTCTAAGAAGTTCTTTACAGGATACTGGTGCCTCATGCTGGAATTCAGATACACTTACAGTATCTTCCAGAAAAAATATAATATAGATGATATTAATGACATGAAGCAGAGATGCTGTCACAAATGTCCACGTAAAGCCTATTCCTCTCAGAAAGTAGCCAGATGAGAGTCCTGCCAATCCAGATACAACTCCAAAAATCAAATCCACTACAGCTATTCGTGTTGTTTTCTGTTTCTCATCATGACAACCATCTGCTATAAAAGCAAAGCCTCCTCCAAGGAAAGTTGCTATACTCCCAAACAGTCCAGTAACAAATGCAACTGCAAACAGGACAGAGAGTGACAAGGAAAAATATGATATGGCAGTGAGGCTAATACCAGCAATCAAAGCTCCCATTGATGGTAAAACTAAAGACCTTTTGTGTCCCTGGCGATCCCCATTAGCTACAATGACAAAGGCAACTATAAGGCTGGGAATGGCCCCAGTTAAGTCCAACTGCATATTAAAAACAGAGGCTTTTTCTTGAACTTCCTGCAAAGAGAAAATAAAAATAATTGTAAATACTGTAATACACTGGGGGAAAAAAATCTGTAACAATATTATTTACATAATTATTAGTATGCAATATAATGAATAGCACAGTATGTATTTATAGGTTACAAATGATACTGTTACATTTGTAATCATATATTACAATTAAATTTTATAAGATTATATGGCATTACGATATTATGCTATAATATTATAGAGCGCATTACTATATAAGAATGCATTATATTATTGTAATCACTAATACAAGTGCATATTCTCTCCTGCTTTTGTAATTTGATCTTCAATATTCCTTAAATAACCCTTGTTACATTTTAAACCAAAAATTAGTTCTTAAGGCACAGTCTTACTAGTAGTGTTAACAGAGGAGTTTCAACGGAGATGAGAGAATAATTCTTTTGAACATGCATTTACAAGAGCTGGTACTCCTTCAATACAGGGTATGGCAAAAGGACACTGGGCTATTTTAATACTACTCAGAAATCAGTAGTAAACCAGTCTTTGATTGAGGAACACACCCCATGCTCCCTATTCACATTTTTCCTCACAAATAATTCTACTGAGGGCATTACAATAAACAAGTTGCAGAGTAAAGCACATTATGCAAGTAAACAGATCAGGATTTGCTCTCACATCCCAATGTACCATGTTACTACTACTACTACTACTACTACTACCAGTAGTAACAACTACAAATGTGAAATACAGCATTAAATATTATACTGACTCATAGATATGTGAATTAACTAATTTTGCAAACACTGTAAAGCTCTGGGTTCATAAACTGTCCAAGTCAGTAATGTCTCTATACATATGCTAAAGCAGGCGTCATATAAAGAACAGCAGCAACTAACACTGTAACAATAAACTGTAAACACCCATTATGGGGAAAATTTCATAATTCTTTTTAACAGAAGTATAAAACATCAAAAACTATTTAACAGACCATGAATGGCTACAGAAAAAAAAAAAACTAAAGGAAAGTTAAATGTTTTTTAAATAAAAAAAAGAGAGATCTTGTTGGGAATGCAGCTGCTAAAGGAGACTCAGCAAGCTACTTGAGATCTTGCTTTTAATGCATAGATGCAGACTTGACAGACAGCAGCCACAACAGCCCTTTCAAAGAAAACCATCTCATCAGACTGAAGAACAGGGTGAGAAAATGAAGTAACTTTAGTGGCACAACCCCTTTATACTCTCGAAGATAAACTTTAAGGTGCAGAAAGTAAAGTCACATTGAAAGTTTTCTTGAAGTTTGCTGAGGCATAACACTGACTTGGGCAGGGGCTGCACTCTTAAATCAGTAGCAGGTACAACTGTGTAAGTTGGCTGACACCATTCTCAGCTTGTATTGATCTATATTCCATGTATTCCTCTGGAGCTAACATAATCCTGACTGAGTAGCATCCATAAAATTGAAAAACCCCTAGAACTTACAGCGATGTATTCTGGGCAATTTTGAAAGCTGCTAAATGCTTTATAAATTCATGTTTATATTTATAGGCAAAGACCATGACTTTTAGTTCAATCTCTTCCTTTGTTTACAAGATACCAGGTTTTATTGCAAGAGGAAAATTCAACTGATCCTGAGGTCCTCAAGTAAAGCCTTCAAGATTGCCAGCACTAGAAAGTCTTTAACTCTCTTCCCTGACTGCCATAGGATTCATGGTATCCCAAAGTCCAGCACTGTTATCACCCTGAAAGGGTCAAAACCATTAAGATTGAACAAATCGAGACAGAAAATGTTATTCTGATCTTTAACTCCTCCACTGCTGACAAAAGAGAACTCTATGCAATTGCAGACCTCTTTTCTTTACTAGAATCATCACGTTCAAAGACATGAGCATCAAACAAATGATACTGCCTTAAAAATAAAATGTTATTATATATCATCTCAACCCACATTAACCATAGAATACAAATATTATTGCCAAACCATACTGAAGGAATAAACTCGCAAATATTAGTGAGTCTTTCTTTCTGGAAGAAGTTGTGCAATATAAAGAACATGGCTACACATCCACAAATGACCATAAACTTGCTGTCATAAAAGATCTGATGTCTTCTAACAAGACGACTAGAAGACATAAGTACAGGAGAACTCCATGTAGAGTGCAAGGCATGCAACTACCTACTTTATGGTTTTATAAAACCAATAAAAACAAACACAGAAAATGACAGGTCAAACCCTCAGCTGCTTTAAAATCATGTAACTCCAATAATCAATACAACTACATACATTTGAAGAGAAAGGTCTAGTTTTTTAAAATGCAAATTCACTCTACTCTGAAAAATTACTCACAATGGACAGAAATAGATCTTAAAATCACTGATTTCAAAATTAAAGGAATAAAAATGAAGAAGCAATAATTTATATAAAGATTAATTAAGAGAGAAGTGCAGTGCCCGAGACTGAACAATGTACAGGACATGATAAACTGACAGGCTCATAATATAAAAAAATATTACTTAGTAGCAAAGGAAAATGCATGGATCGGACAATAAGTAAATGGGATGATAAATCATGTTTAATGATTAATAATATAGCTCTTTCTGAGATATTAAAAAATATTATCCAAGCCAGTGATCAGAATGCTTCAGCTCGCACTCAAATTACCACTGAACTCACTTTATTATAAAATTACTAATTTTCTTTGAATTGTAAGAAATAATTAATCTAACTGCTGCAAAGACTATACATTTTGAATTATATTCTACTTTTTTTTGCAGGCTACAAGTGATTTTTGTCTTCAATTCTTGTTTACATTTTTCTTTGAAACAGGGGAGATTAGTATAAAGTTTCTTCATTCTCAGAATATAAGAACTTTCACTAAATTAACTATTAAGGGAGATGTGCTTCTAAAAGTTAATGCCAAACTTGGCCTCTTGGGAACACTCCTAAGAGCAACATCTATAAACATATGTCAGTTAGGATGGCCTTGCGAAATCCAGAATACCTACTTCACGCTTCCTTGGGAAAGAGCATGGATTTAAGTTAGTGGGTCTACTTTCTGGCCCATACACAGGACTATTACTCAGCACAGAGACCAGCTTCCACTTAAATTAATGAGTGTTTTGAGCATTTAAATTCTTAAGCTATGGTAACAAATGTGGTATAAAAATGCAGGCAAGATACCCAGACAAGACCGTAATTGTTCAAAAGCTCATGCCCTACTGGCAATCACCGAAATGGAGCAAATGGAAATTTTGCAGGAAACGGAAACAAAGAAGTTCTGTTGGCCATTATTCAAGTGCTGTTTCAAATACCAAGTTAATTATACTTTGTAACCAAAAGACCTGTAATGTGTGAATTCACCACCACCTCAGAGATGCTATCTAAACTTCAGCTGAAAATAAGATTCTGCTTTAGTGTTTTGCAAAAAGAAATATAAAGTTTTAAATACTGAACCATAGGTGACGGCAGTTTGAAAACCAGGCTGAATCTAGGGGGGTTGCAAAATGCGAAAATGTTTGTGAAATATAAGTTTCTTGATGGGCTATGCAATTAGAACTGTATGCACCACTTATGGTTGCCTCAGAGCTGCTTGTTCTGTATGAGAAAATGCCCAGACATAGCACCAAATAGGGAAGCTAATACTAAATAAAATACAGCATTACTCAGACAATAACTGGTTATTATCTCCATGGGTCAGCCCAGAAGTCATGCTGGACGACAATTCTATTGACCTTTTTACTTTCACATTCTTTCTACTAAGACCAGCTTCTGTCACATGACAAAGAACTTACACCATGCTAAAAATCCTGAATTATTTCTTCGATCACCTTTAATGAAAACACTTACTGTTAAAAATCTTTTATATATGACAAATGAGGCAGATAAGCTCAAGTGCTCAGTCTTGCATATATGCAGCACATGAGAGATTCAAATATGGAATGTGAGCAAAAACTTTAAAGTGCCACCTTTTCAGCTGCATAAGGAAATGACTGTTTCCGTAACTCCACCTTCTGTGTAATTAATACTCCAAGTCATCTACTTTTCTGACCTTACAGTGGTTTAATCTTCTACTTAATCCAACCCAACTGCCAGTTGCTGTTGACAAAGATGGTTCTGTTGAATCTATTCTGGAAATATGTTCCCTCTGCTATTCCCATGTTAGGCACAGCAATCATGTGGCCACAGAGTGTCAGAGCAATGTACTGCTTAACACTCAAAAAGCAACCTCAAAGCAAGAGATGAGCTTTCTTTTGAATCAGTGCCCTACTTAAATCCAAACCATAACCTGTAACTGCATATTTGCAAGATACAATACATGGTTGGAGAGGGGAAAGGAAAATGGAGTATGATCATCTCTTCTGCTGGCAGCTCATAGTTAGCAGAATAGAAGCATTAAAACTGCATTAGAAGTGCAATGGAAGAGGTACCAACCAACAATTCGCTATCCAGCATGCTGAATTATGAAAATGTGCTAAAATGTAATTGACTGTGAGATGTTGCCATCTTGACGTCTTTGTATTTCAACAAGGCAGACTAGTGCTCTGAATGATAAACCATCAATTATATTTGACTGTGCAAAGATCAGCCTTTTTTTTTTTTTCCACATTTTAAAAACACAACCCTTTTTATTTTCACCTCCCCTGTTCCTCATTCTTGTAATTCCTCTGAAATAAATGTATTCTAAACTAGGTCTTAGTCCTCAAAATTACAGGACATTTGCTAAACTTCACATGGTTGCAAAGAACACTAGGAGCACCAAAGGCAACTAATGGCTCACAAACACATGCACGAGTTGCTGGGAGGAGCTGTATGTCAGCCCAATGCCAATTCGGGCCCAATCCTCTCAAATGATTTTCAACTCCTGCTAAAATACGAGTTCATCTCAGCATCTTCCTGGAGACAAATCTTTGTCTTTTAAAGCACTTCCACTACCAACAATGAAACACACGAGCAATGAGATGGTAAAGTGAGTGCAGGTTGCAAAGCTACAGCTTTTCCGTCTATAAAAGGTTAAGTGAGGTTATAAACCAGGAGATTACGCTGAGGCAGCACCTCCTGGCTGCAAGTTTATTTATAAATGTTACTTCTTCCCCCGTCTTACCTTCTGTTTGTTATAAGCCGGGCTGCTCTTATTCTGCTCGCAGTGACTGACATTGCTATCGCTCACGAAAGTGGAGTTGAACTCCTGCTCCCACAGCCGCCGGTAGATAAACTGCTGCACCAGCGGGATCGTCAGGAAAGTCGCGAAAAGGTAGATGAAAATGACGGGCTCCACGCACAGAACCTTCCTCATTTCTGCGTGGGGGGTTCAAGCCCTATGTCAGAAGACAAACGGCAAATCCTCACGAGGTGAGAGGGAAACACACGCCCGAGCAGCCACCGGCACGCTGCCAGCGCCCACCTGACACGGGACAGCCCCTCCCGCAGCCCCCGTTCCCCAGCGCACCGCAGTGCCCCCGCCCGCTCTCCCCCGCCCCGCAGCGCCGGCCGTGCGTGGCAGCGGGAGGCGGGACGCGGAGGGCGGCCACGGGCCGGCGGGGGACGGAACGCGGCCGCCCCCCGGCCGCCGGGAGGACGACGCCGGGCGCCGCCATCTCGGGCCGCTGCCGCTCGGGCGGCGGGCGGGGCGCTGCGGCGGGCGAGGTCGCGGCCGAGCTGGGGAGCGGGGTCCGTGTGCCGAGCGTGTCCCCGCCGCGCTGTTCGTTCCCGTGGCGGGGACGCGCGGGATTGCTGCGGCAGATCGGGACACGCATATCAGCAGCCTGGCGATTTCAGCATCGTGCCGAACGCCGCCGCTCAGTGCGCACCGGGCCAGCCGGCTTGTTTGGGCTGGTTACACAACGAGGATCTGCCTTATCAGCGGCGCCTTTGGCCTCGTTTAACACCGCGACCCTGGCCTGGAGTTCAGCCTGGCCCGGAGTTCAGCCTGGCCCAGGGCATCAACGCGCCCAGGGCCAAAGTGGCCAAGCACCGGCTGGGGAAGAACCTGCGTTCTCCTCCGTGCTACTGCGTGTGCTCCAGTCTCAGCTGACTTGGTTTAGGGGTTTTATTATAGCTGCTCCCCTTCCAAGTGCTCTTGGGTTGTCAGGACGTGTAAAAGCAACATTTGTTAGCCACCAGCTGGTCTCCAGTTAATAGAACCATATAATCTTTTAGGTTGGAAAAGAAGTCTAAATGCCATCAAGCCTAACCATTAACCCTTCACTGCCGGGAAGACTTACATCCCATTCTCTTTGAGTCTGACTTAGCTGATGCCATGCGTCAGGGGAAAGACATTGTGGCATATGTCCCTGTTGGAACAGCTGCTGTGGCACGTGCTGCAGCTCTAGATGAAAGGTCATGCTTGTGTGGATCTGAAGTTGTGCAGTTTAGATACGGCCTTTAACCCATCATGATGTACACATAAAAGGGAGCGCACCCTGGCATCTGATGCACGCTCCTCCTCAGACCTTGGTACACCAAGGAGAGGTGAGTCCCACCTAGGGAGTCCCACAGAATCTTCTTTCAGGCTTAAATACTGTTTTTCAAATACAAATGTTGCAAAAAGTCCTATTTGCTAAAAGTAAGGGCAGTTTAAGAACTTCATGAAAATTCAGTTCCTCGATAAAGTGATTTGAAGACAGATTATCTGTAACATGGGTCATATGGTCTTGCATAATGCTTTAATTTGTTCACTGCCATGTGACATGTCATTCAGTCTCAATTTTGGGGACAACCCTGGCTTGTCATGTGTCTCTAAGTATAGGATGAACCCAATGTACAAGCTCAGTGGCCTTGATTATTTACTTGTGCTGTTTTGGTCTGGCATATAGGCTTGCTCACAGAGACACACAGACTGATTGAAAAAAAGTGGTACTCTGGCCTGAGATCAACTTGTAGATTATATCGTCCTTCTCATGGACCTGTCCAGGTCCAAAGTCTGAGTTATCCTGTGACAGTATTTTGTTTATTACAAGGTAGCAAAACCAGTCATGTGAGGGTTGCACACAAATGGGCTGCTCGGTGAGAGGGACTGTTCAGGTCACTAATCCAGCTGCTAACATTTATGTGAGCACAGTGAAGAAGGGCTTTTAAGCCTACGGGAACTTTCTGTTCCACAGAGAGATGTTGGCCTGAGCCTCGTTAAGTTTCTTGCCAGATCCAGCTGTGCTGAATAGTGTGTCACTTAGGATCACAAGTGTCTGAATACAGCCCAGGTTGCTGACCAAACTTGGTTTAGATCACAATTCCTTCGGAACAGCCTTCCCAGTGCCAAAGAATGGAGCTCTGGATCTGTGTTCTGTGGACGTCCTCTGCTTCTGTCCTTCTTACTGCCAGTAACTGTGTCTAACTTTGGGCTTGGGTTTGCAGAGCCAAGTGGCCCCAGCAAAGTTGTGGCCTCACCAGTGCTGAAGGCAAGGCTGCAGTATGAGCTGGTCACCTTGAAGCAAGGTTTATCTTTGATTATCTTTGTGCAACAGCTTGAAGCCTGCTCATGAGTATCTTCTAGTGTCTGACAGGTAACATTTGCCCCTCAAGCAGGTGTACTGGAACAGACTTGGCCCTCCTTGGTTCCCAGTCTTCCCTGCAAGGGGAACTAAAACTAGAAGATATGACTGGATTTTTTAGATCAGACTTGGCTGTGTGATGCTTATCCTTTGAAGCTGAGCATTTCCAAATAACACAATACAAGGCAAGCTAGCTTCTTCTCTCCCTATCACCACTATTCACACTGTCCCAAATTTGAGTGAGATGCCCATGAACAGACTTTGATAAGGTCACAGGCATGTGGTGGCTGCAGCTTTGCCCTGGTTTGTATTTTGTTTGCTGACATCCTCAATGTGTGAAGAATTGAAGGAGCACATGAATTTATTGTAGAGATCACGCTTTTGGGGAGCACTTGCTAAGTTTCCAATAAAAAAATTCTAAACCCAAACTGATCTTTGGAGGTTGTATGCTGCTTGTGCGTCAGGGCATGGAAAAAGGGTGACATGCATTGAAGTTTTAAAGTTCAGAACATTATGGGACTTTTGAGAGATCCCACCAGCACTAGTCAAAGACATTACCTTCGGTGATATAAATGTTCAAACAAAGCCTCCTGCACTTCAAGGAATTATGTTCACACAAATCACTGCTACTATAAACATTTTTTTCCCTAGCAAATTCTTTTGATGCAGATAAAGCTGAAGACATTTTGGAGAAATGCTTGGCTAAAATCTTTTGCTCAAAAAATTAGTAGGACTTTAATAAATAATATTTCCATGTAAAATGTGATTTTAATTGCCTTCTAACAAATTCAGTATTTTTAAAATTGAGGTGACTTTATTTTCCATGTTAACAATCTACTGTGAACCTTAGCCCATGTATCATTTGTGGATTACAGAGTGACATTAAGAAGTACTGTCTCTACTTATATTCAACTCATGTTTTCAAGGCTACCTTGATAACAATGGTTAACACAAATTAAAAAAAAAAAAGGGAAGAGAGAAGCACACTTCTGGCAGAGAGTCAGTTTTATACAAAATGCAGTTCTGCAGAAACCCCTCTCGCCCTATGTCATGCCCATGAGCAGGGCAAACAAAGATACATAGAGGAAGTTCTCCAAATATTGCCACTGGGAAAAAGGAGAATAATTCTGCAGAGGCATACCTCGGTTTAGATGTAACTGTTTGTTTTGTTTTCATTGTAACTGTGTTGATTTCTGAAGCTTGAATGTAACCCTTGACAATGAAGAGTAGTAATGAAGTTTTAAATATGAGGCTGAAAGAAAACATGACAAGGAAAATTTGTTCAACAAATCCAACCATGTGGTTTTGAAGCACCTCTCTTTTTACCAAAGGGACAGATTATCACTGATTTTCAAGGCTTAAAATGGCATCTCTGATCTTTGACTGCTTAGACAGCTAAGAGCGTCTGCCCCAGCGAGAGGTCTCAGAGCTGCAGCCCAAGTAGCACAAGGGAGGCTCACACCTTCACCATTCTCTCCTCTGACTGACCCCATCCACACTGAGCAACATTTGGTCTGAGTCTCCTCTGGCCCCACAGGGTAGCAGAACATCACAGATAATCAAAAAAAATCACATTTTTGTCTTTTTGCAGTCCAGAATATCTAAAATAATGTGACTGAGTTCATCTGGTGCGGAAGAAAGTGCTTGAAAGGTATTGGCAAAGACATCCCACTGACTTGGCATTGCTGAAAATGGGATGATGTTCTGAATGCCTCTTGTCACAGCATGAGCACTAACATTGGCTTTAGTCTCTGTGCCATATGGCACTTATTAGCCTTCTTAAGTGTTGTGTAGAAAATCTGTGCTTGTTTGAATCCTCAGACGTGTAAGGCATCAGGATATATTTATTTTCTCTGAATAAGATAATCTGAACAGAACTGACATTCTTGCTGGCCTCTCATTACATACACCACATATCAGCAGCCATTTCCAAATGTATTTAGTATTCAGTATTTTTGCTTTCCAGCAACATTTATTTACCTCTCATACTCATGTATTTGTAAGTCTTCAGTGCTCATCTCTGTTTATTTCATATGTCAGATTTAGATATTTCCATTGAAAGCCCTTCACCCTTGTGGCTTTTCTGTTTAGATGACTCAGTGGAGGAGAATTTAGCAGCTCCCTTCATGTTGGGTTCAGGTGCAGCTTCTGCAGACAGCCTCTTGTGGTTTCATCCAGTCCAAAACAAAGCTGCAAGAAACTATTAGAACTGCCATGACTGACTTTCAAGCTACTTGAGGATTTTAAATTCATTTTATGCAGCTGCTTGGTCCTGTTTGAGGTGGATTTTTTGTTTTCTTCCTGTTTTGCTTTCAATCACATTGTGTAATAGACATATGATAGCTCTTCACTGTAGATAAGTGATGTAAATTGTGTCTGTCTGACTGCATTACTTAATACAGAATTTCTGATGATCTGTTTCACAAGTCCAATTTAGCACCTCACTCTTACATTGCAAAACTGCTTTTAAAAATAACTAATGGTGTTGATAATGCTGTCCTACCTGATACCCTCTGTCCCCTCCCTTCAGAGCTGTGTTTTGGGTGGGATGATCAGCAGCAGCAGCAGCAGCAGCACGCTGGAGATACTCCTGGTTACCATGACTCAGCAAAGTGCTTGTCTCTCTCGTCTGTATTCCACTTCACCCATTTGCAGAGGTGGACAAAGGCATCCTTCTGCCTAGAAGAATCTTTTGACTTGAAACAGAAGGTTTATTTCCTTTTTTTCCCTTTTTAAAATTTTTATTTATTTAATGTAAACAATTCCTTAGAATGCGGAACTGAAAGTAAACTGCTGAGGCAGGGCTGGAGTCGCTGCAGCTGAGGCAGAGCT